GTTTGTTAGGTATTAGAGACTTGTTAAACCAGAGCAGGGCCACACTGAGTCAGAATGACTGAATGAAATAATTTGAATCCCCTTGCTGTCATTCAGATTATTTAATGCTGTGCCCATTGTCTGAGATATCACTCACAGAACACATCCCATGTTTGGGAAACGCTTGATCTTCTAGCCTCTGTAGAATTCTGCTTGATAGTGAATCTAAAGACAATTTAAGAAATTGACTTTTAACAAGCGAACTTGCTGATAACTTATTACAAATCTATGTGTCTCGCGGTTTGTAGACATCTCAGTTTTTATCAGCTAACAATACCCAAGAATTCTATTTCTCATCACGTGAAGATCACCTAGAAAAACATTGCTTTGTAGATCTCTTTACATTTTTTGCTTTCTCATTTTCATAATCACAAGTGTTTTCTCATCTGCTTATCTTCAATGTGATGAAAACCAATGAATACTCACTTGTCCACTTTGCTGAAATGTATGTTTTATTTCATGGTTTCCATTCCTTTCCCTTTGGGAGCATCACCGAATGCTTCAGATTTCTAGCTCTGGCCCCTCTGACCTGCCTGTGCTTTCTCTCTACTGCCCGCTAAGTCTCTATCTCTAAGCTGTCTCTCTGGTATAAGTAGAATGGCTGGCGGGAAATCTCATACACCTGTGTGCGTAAAAATCAACTGAGAGCAGTTTTTTAAAATGCAGATTGCCGCTCTCTCCGCCTCACTCCTGCCCTCCTGCCCTCGCTGTCAAAGGTCTGGTATAGATCCTGGGAATCTGTATTTTATACAAGTACCCAATATAGTTCTCATGCACATAGCCTCTGGACCTTTGAGAAAGATGTATTAGCAAGTGATTCTCCTCCTTCTCTTCCTTCTCTTCCTCCTCCTCTTCCTCCTCCTCTTCTTCGTTTTCTTCTTCCTCCTCTTCTCTTTCTTCCTCCTCCTCCTATTCTTTCTTCTAGAGAACAGGTAATTGTAAGTCTGTTTCATTAACTGCTAATATTAAACTTCGTTATAAAACTTCCCATCACATAAATGATTTCCATGTTTCCGAATGGGCAGAATTCTTGATTTGAAGGGCAAAATACCTGAAGTACTAGATCCACCATTACCCATCAATCAGTCCATGACCCTACATTACACTTTCCTATTCCTCTAACATGGAAATAAGACTCTGCACCTTCTTGCCCTAGAGATTTGCATTGAAGATAAAATGTGAGAAAAGATATGACAATGCTTTGTAAATTGTCAGGGATTTTTACCAACACGATTACAACAAGAAACTGCATTTTAAAAACTCATCCGTTAAAATATTGGAGAAAGATTCTTTTTAAATGATGTTTTGCATCAGGGATTTTGAGTGGCTCTGCCAATGTTTTTGATCAAACATATGTTTGAGGAGAGACAGTTGTGATCTCGCTGCATTTTAAGTTGTGGCATCTCAGCCCCACCCTATCCTATCCTACCCAGATACGTTTAACAGCTTTGCAATGTAATTTCACAGATTCCGGAATTGAGGTCTTTCAGATTCTTTAATACAAATCCAAAATTACCCTCCCCGTGTTTCCCGTGAAACCTCTTCCCTCCACATGGAATATAAAGTATCAGATACTAACAATAGAATATTAAAAGCCAGATTTGAAGCAATTACCCACAGCTTTGGAGAACAGTCCCACACACAGCTGGTGCCCAATCAGAAGGCCTGTCTCTGTCACTAACCATCCCCGCTACTCATAGAATCAGAATGTCAGAGTTGCAAAGGATCTTATAGATTATCCTCCCCTTCATTTAACAAATGGGAAAAGTGAGGCACAGGAAAGGGACGAAGTCATCCAGAGTCACTCAAATGGAGGCATTAGAACCCAGGTACCTGTCTTCTGGTTGCTACACTCTGCTGCTTTCTTCTCTGAATTAGTAGGGTGACCTTGTATCTGGGAGTGAAAGGGGCTTCCTGAGTGTTAAAGCCACGTGCACTGAGGATGATCTTGTTGCAGAGGATGGAGGTCTCTTGTGGTGCAGCATAATGTACCATATTGTTTTTTATCATGTATGAAGGCCTAAAAGGCAGATGACACTAAACTGTTAACTGTGAACAATTATGTAAGTATAACAATGAGAACCGTGGCTGTGAGCTAACTATCCATAAGATCATTCTATCATTATTCTCAAGTTCTCATCCGTCCTGCTGAGAGAGATGGTTGTGAGTCCTTCATAGAGTTAGATGCTGGACCACTGTTCTTTCTCCATGGCCGGAGTTATATTGATGTAACCTGGTATTAGCCATCAAATAGCAATACTAGACTATTTTCAATCTTTATTTAAATCTCTAAAAGAGTTGTACAACAGAGCCAATATATTGAAGCTGAGTTTGCCAGTGTCAAAGATAGATAGAGAGGGAGAGAAAGAGAGAGCCAATGTAGCCCTTCAGGAAACATTTCTCAAAGAACCTCTTCCTCTCTCCAATTGCTCTGGAGCCTTCCACATGCCCAACCACATGGTTTTCTTCAGCTCTGATCTTTTCGCCTTGTCTTTTATCCTCACTCCTCATTCTTTATTATGTTTATTCATGTAACCCCTCTCTTTGTCTTCTGTACTTTCCTCCTACCATTGCAGGGTTTTCTCCCCTCCTTTACACATAGTCTCCCTAGATCTACATCACAGAAAACATTGGGTTCCACTTGGCAATGACTCTTCTTTAATGGTCAGATGGAGTTAGCAGGAAAGAGTCCAATGTTAGTGTCACAGTCATATTGTGTTGCAATAAATGGAGAGGTCACATCACACTGCAGATTTCTCACAGGTGGAACATTTATAACATGCACCCCTGTACATAGTCATTTCACCCAGGAATCTGCCATAGTGGGACAAAGAAATGCTAGAGACAGCAAGACCTAAATACTATATCTACAGTGGTAGTTGTCAAAATGATGAATGACAATACAGTAGAACAATTACTAGCACAGATGCTGGTGTCAAAAATGACTTAAATGTAAGGTCTGACCCTGTCATTTATTAACTGTGTACACTTGGGTAAATTACTTATACTCCTTGAAGCTCAGTTTCCTTGCCTGTTAAATGGATATAGTACATGAATTAAGGCACATAATGCATTCAGCCCAATGCCTGGCACACCAGTGCTGTACTAATGGGTGGTTGTTTTCATCGTTGCTAATAATGACAATAATAATAAATATGACACAAAGGGGATTTGGCCAATGAGAGATGAGAAATTCTTATTTTTTTTCTTCCCTCTCTCCCTCCTTCCCTTCCTTCTTTCCTTCCTTTCCTCCTTCTTTCCTTCCTCCTTCCCTTTCTTCCTTCTCTCCTTCCTTCCTTTTTTAGTTTCATTTCTTCCCTTTCATTCATTCTTCTTTTTCTCAATAGATATGTTCAATGAATAAGACAGATAAAAATGTAAGGGAGCATGTAAAGGCCTGAGGGCACATCTTGAGTTGTCTAGAGAGTTTACACTTTAAAAAGGCATGTGGAAAATCTGGAGGAAGGAACATATAACCAAGGATGAATCAAGGATGAACAAAAGCTATGTTCAGAGCTATGTTCGGATCTAACCCAGAAATAGTTAGATCTCATTATTTAGGGAAGAAATCTTGCATATTCTGCTGTAATAAGAATAGACTTCCAACTGGAAAGAAGAGAACATTTTAGGGAGAAAGTTGCTGTCCAGGATTGATGGAAAGCATTTAACTCTTTCTAGCCAAGATGTGTCATGTCTTAGGGGTTTAAAGGAACTTGTTGCTAACAAGTCTGATGATCTTTGTCTAGGACTGGGGAATAGGTGGAAGCCTGCAGATAGTAAATATTGCCCCAATTTTTCAAGAAACACTAAAACTAAACTCCAGAAACCATAGACTCATAGCTTGTGTAAGTAAGATTCACTGTTGTATAATAATTCATGCCCCCAAATAATTTCTTTATCTGTTAGGAAAGACTTTCTGTTTGGCAGAGACATTTTAGCAAGGCATTGGACAAAGCCTGTCAGAGTGGGTCCATTCTCAGGCACATTGAGCATTAGATGTTGGACTGCCAGCAAGCCTGTCTTGGGGTAACTATGATTTTCTGTTTTATCTTGCTCAACATTATTTACCTTGCCTGAAAAACTAAAAGGCAGATGACACTAAACTGAAATATCTACTATTGTAGATTATTTGATCTTCCTATGTGCTTGCAAAAACCTTAAGATCTAGTTTGAGTGGATGCTAAATAATCATATCTTGCATGTTAAAATTGCTATGATTTAGAATGATCTCAGCTGACTAAAGTGATATCAAACCAAGATAACAAAGTTTAACTGAGTAAAATGCGATGATTTATATTTTGGCTTAAATAAATAAATAAATAAAATCAACTATGCAGCAATGTAATAAAGAACCTTAGGAACTGACTAGTTGTTGTATCAAAACTGATCAAAGTTGGCCGCAAGCTCAATATACGCCAATAACTTATTACCATTGTTAGAAATGAACTGAATTTGACTACATTCATAGAAGTAAACCCAATTGATGATGAAAAGTACATGATGTAAGTCAGGCTCACTGCCAAAATTTGTGCACTTTCCTAGTACCATAATTCAAGAGAGGTGTTCAAAGGACAGTGCCCATTATGGGGAATAATCTGGAAACCATAATATGTAATGAACTATTAAAGAAAATGGAATGTGTAGCCTGGAGTAGAGAAAACTTGGAAGATATAATCAGTAGAGGGCACAATGCTGAGGGGGCCTGATAGGCACACTAGGTCCATCAGGTAGAAGCCACATGGACACCGATTTTGGCTGAACATTGATGGGTTACTTCTAATAGCTACTGTTGCCCAGAATTAATATGGACTGGCCTGTCATTTGAAATTCCTAAGTAGAAGCCAAATAGCTACCCATCTGCATGGCGCAGAGTGTTCCTGCCATGCAGGTGGGCTCTTTCAGGAGATGGTCTGCAACATCCATTTCAATTCTGAGGTTCTGTAATCTTCTCCTCTCTCTAGGGATGCAGTGGAGTGTGGTGGCCAATGGGAGAGTCAGTGTCACCCGCCAGCAACTTCTCCTTTGGTGGCTACTCAGCCGAGTGACACTTAGGCCCCTGGGACAATGACCCAGAAGACAGCCATGCCTCCGAAAGAGGGCCGGGTCCTAAACTGCTGCTTGCGCGCGACTGCACCCGGTATTCTCTTCACCTGAGGCCTTCCGTCCGCTGGTGCAGGAACCCGGTGCACGCTGGGCTTTTCCTCCGAGATTCCAGCAGGTGGCGCTGGAGGGAGTCAGAGGACATAATGGCCTCCTTGTTCCCTTTTTATTTCCCAGCACTCCCTCTTCCCAGATTCTCTGCTCTTGCCGCATGGTCTCTGGTGTTTCTGACATGTTCCCATCACTCACTGTGTCTGGTCTGTCTCACTCACGTTCTAAGCACGATAGCTTGTTGTGTCCTATCGCGGTCACTGATGTCTGCAAACACACCTTCTTTGCTGTGTGGGCTCACAGATATCAACAAAATACTCCCTCTCTGCTCCTGTCTTAGCCAGAGTCCTCGCTCCTGTCTTGCTTACTTGCTTGGTCACGTCCGTCACAGCCATGTTCAAGCTATCCCCTGTCTCTTCTTCACCCTGTTCTGTGCCAGACGCTAACACAGTTTTCTCCCTGTGTCTGGGTCCAAACGTGCATCCTCTTGGCCGGCCCCCTTGTCAGTCCCAGACATCCATTTGCTCTTCCTTATGTCCAATGTCCGTCTTCCTCTTCAAGACATGCTCCATATATTTTCCATGGAAGACACAGGGTCAGAGATCTGTCAGAGGAAAATGGTCTCCACAGCAACTCCGGAGGGAAACTGAAGACAGATAGCTTCCCCCTGGTGTCCTGGTCGCTGGCGTGTCTGCCCTGAGATGCTCACTGTCCTGCTGGGCTAGAACGGGACATCTTCTAAAGAGCCTTGGGCAGGGCTAGCAACATCGTAGGTGTTTATTAGGCTTCAGGATCTTTCCTATGAACTTGTGATGTCATTTTAAAACCTTTCAATCTGGCTTTGTTGCTCCCAAAGGAAGAGAACTGTTAGAAGTTAACACTGGGTAGACTCATTTTCCCCTACAGCTCCCCCCAGGTGCAGGAGGGCAGGATCCAGCAGTACTGGGGATGCGTAGGCAATGCTGGACTTGAAGCCAGAGGACCCAAGTTGCCGCCCTGGCTGTGCTGCTAACAAGCTGTGAGATCTTGAATACTGTTTTCTCATCTCTGGACCCCACTTGCCACATCTGTGCACTCAAGCTTGGACTAGAGGGTCTTTAAGTTTTCTTTCTGTTTCTAGGACAACAGGATGCTGCTATAGCCGTCTGCTACCTCGAGAAGCCATGGCCTGCCTGCCTTTTGGCTTTGTTTCAAAGGAAAGACCCTCCTCATTTGGGCCTTTTAGACCCCTGACCTTTCCAGCATTTTCATTTAGATTAACCTGTATGTCTTTTATTCAAAGCTGATCAGTGGCTCTTGCGAATGCCCCAGAGCAAAAGTCCCTGGAAGGTAAATGCCAAACCCAGAGCCATGTGAGATTCTGACTTTGATCTTGGCTGTGGTTTGATAGCATCTCAGGATTATTTATCATACTCTCTTTTTTTCTTGTTGCTTATGAAGTGTCAGTTATTGTTTCCATTGTTGTTTACTTTAGTTCTGGAACTGAAACTGACAGGAAGAAACTTTGGAATACGGAAGAGAAGATTGACCAAACCATCCAAATGCCAAAAAGGAAAAAAAAAAAGAAAGAAAAAAAGAAAAAAGCCTCTCTGTCCTATGAAGGCTTAATTCTGTTGGGGAGAAAGTCATGTTTTAGGGAAGGGAAATAGCCTCTGAAAGAGAAATGCTATTCAGAATTCGTGAGAAATATCTCTCCATGCTGAAATGTTCTTTGTGTGGACTGGGATTCTCCCTGATCAATGGAGCGGATTGAACCTGGGAACCATTCTTGTCATATATGAAGAAAGTTTATTTAAGTTTTAACTTGCACCCTGACTCTATGGCTGGACCAACCCCCTCTGATTTTTCAAGTCATTGTTCCCTTGCCATCACTAGGCTCAGCAACCACCATTAGCAGGCAAGCACCATTTGAGGTGCTTTTCTAATATGAAGAAGGGAGCAGCCAGCTTCTGGGCCCCACGGCTCTGGACCTGATGATGAGACCCAACCAATCTGCTGTGGCGGCCCACACACCCACCCACTGCCTGCATGAGTACATTGGTGGGAGGAGTACAGCACAGAGGCAGCGCATGCACTGGGTCCATTGCTGACTTATTAAGCAAATTGAACTAATTCCTGAATGTCTCAGACCTCAGAGAGAATCTCTCTTGTTTACTTCACAAAGCTGTTGTGGAGATAAGATAAATTTTTTTGTGAAAACATTCTGTAAATCATAAAATGCCATTCCACATATTTATCATTACTTTGGGCGTTTTGGATTACTGTGGATGTGCCTGAGCACTCAAGGACTAAGAATTTATTTACCAGGAGGTAAACCAACTTAAGAGAATAAGTTTCTATGTTGATAAAGAAACAGAGAAAGAAATGCCCCAGGGCAAAGTTCACAGGAAGGTAAATGCCAAACCCAGAGCCTTGTTAAAAAAAATAATATTCTAAGAGCACCCCTTGGGTATTAATTCTTCCTGTATTCCCAGCACTTTGGAAGGCCCAGGTGGGCGAATCACTTGAGGTCAGGAGTTCAAGCCTGGCCAACTTGGTGAAATTTGATCTCTACTAAAACTACAAAAATTAGCTGAGTATGGTGGTATCTGCCTGTAGTCCCAACTACTTGGGAGACTGAGGCAGGCGAATTGCTTAAATCTGTGAGGCAGAGGCTGCATTGAGCTGAGACTGCACCACTGCACTCCAGCCTGGGCAATAGAAAGAGACTCCATCTCACTAAATCAATCAATCAATCAATGAATCAATCAATAATATTCTAGGAATTGTAGAAGCACCCTTTGGGTATTAATTCTTCCAAATCTGTCCATCCTAATTTGGTCATTTCAGGTTGCCCAACACACAAATTTATGAATGACAGAAACTCATTTAAAGGGATTTTGTTGGCCGGGCGCGGTGGCTCAAGCCTGTAATCCCAGCACTTTGGGAGGCCGAGATGGGCGGATCACAAGGTCAGGAGATCGAGACCATCCTGGCTAACACGGTGAAACCCCGTCTCTACTAAAAATACAAAAAATTAGCCGGGCAAGGTGGCGGGCGCCTGTAGTCCCAGCTACTCGGGAGGCTGAGGCAAGAGAATGGCGTAAACCCGGGAGGCGGAGCTTGCAGTGAGCTGACATTCGGCCACTGCACTCCAGCCCGGGTGACAGAGCAAGACTCCGTCTCAAAAAAAAAAAAAAAAAGGATTTTGTTATTCACAAAGTAGGGGACTACACGCTAATTTTGATGATAATGAGTGTAACTTCTCATATGACTTCAACGTCACATGGAATAAGATTCAAATGTCTGTTCACTATAAAAAATGTATTTGAAGAAGAAAATACTTGGGCCATCAAAATCATCCCCACACTGTAAATTATATATATACAAATCCTACGAAAAAAATCAAACATGGACCAGACTATGACCAGCTAGCACGAATACTACATAAAGAGTCAACTAAGATATTGAACCTGATAACTTTTGAGAATTTTCCTGATCTGATAGTCTATGTATATGATTGTTAATTGTGGTTTAATGCTATTTTAGCTAACACCTTAATTTTATTTACATTTTTAATAAAGTAGAATTACAAAGGGGCCACTTATGCAGTTTATAATGCACTGAGATCCCTTGTATAATCAACATATAAAGTACATGTGTGCCCACCACATAGAACATGAAACAATTCTATCATTTCAAAGGATTACAAATTGTAATGATGGTTTTGTTTTGCTTTGTGAGATTGTTAGTTATAGCTTTGATTTATGTGAAGTTAAGGTTTTGAAGGTCCTAGAATCCCTGATTCTAACTTTGTTTACATGGAAAGCGTCTTTGGCTTTATGATTATCAACTTTTTGATGCAGTTTCCAGAAATGTGTTATGGAAAAAATTGGAGCCTACATAGATTTTTTAATTGATAAATTCTATTTATTGATAAATTATACATATGTTTATATGAGTGCATTCTGTACATGTTTATATAAATTATATATTCAAAGATAAAAATGAGTCTGAAAACTAATAACTGAATTTTGAATATGCAATAAAACGCCAAAGTCAACTCCCTTGCCTCAGTGTTGTGGAGCTTCTTGGGAACCTCCAAGATCCCAGGGCATCCTCCGGTAGCTACGTCATTTGAAGCTGGAGAATTTCCTGACTCCAGTACCAAGTTCCCCTCAAAGGAAAGCTAGAATCCCCAGGCCCCTAGATAATGTGATTTTACCAGATTCTACCTGTCTGCCTGTCTGTCACCATCAAGGCCTCCAGCAATAAGACAGATCTCTATGACATGGTCACCTCATGAGCAGAGGATGGGGATCCTGTCCAGCTACTCTCAGAGCACAAACCACGAGGAGCCATTTAAGGCAGTGTGACAGTATATATCTGGAGGTCTCGGATTGAGGTTAAGCATGTCATCCCTGCTGAAGCCTTTAGAAAAAAAAAAAAAAAAAAACAGGGGGAGGTGGGTGGTGTCATGAGCCATCCAAGAGCCTGGAGTTCGTCTCCCTTAGGCCCAGGTTATGTGTCAATGAAATCTAGGTACCATCTCTTCCGGGTGTGGAACAATGGAATGAACCCTGTCAGCAGTCAGGAGACAGAGCAATGTCCAGAGTAAAATAGACTCAGCTCTTTTGTTTACCTCTTGGGACCTATCTTCTCACATATAAAATGCCAGGGGTGGAGAAGAATTAGGTTCTCACATCAGAATCCTTTCTTCATTCACAAATTTACCTGGAATTCCATCACATGAAAGATTCAAGCAGGATGGGGAATAGGTAGGTCTGGATCCCCTATCTCTGGTTATTGTAATCTATGCCCTGGAAGGAATCTTCTTGGGAGCCTAAAGCCCAATCGCTTGACCGGGGAATATCCTCTGTGCCGGTGCTTATTTTCCTCCTGTCCTTAGCTTTTCTGAGGCGGTGTTCATAACACTGCCATGAACTGTTTATTCCAGGTGACAGTCATTTCCTCAAAATCATGCCTCCCCGTTACAAAATCTCTTCTTCCAATCAGAAAGCACACTGTCTCCTGAAACTTCCTTCCTAGAATAAAGACCTGAGCCTTCACTGGTTGTGAAGCACCTGCTACTAGACCCCAGAAAACTCCTGCAGAATCCACCTTCAAACTAACCTACCCTTGGGAGAATGCCCTCTTTCTTGATTTCTTTACAAATTGTCTATTTTCATGTTGGAGTATCTCTAGATTCATTCAAGGGGAAGAGACTAGTATTGATTTAGCACTTACTGTGCGCTAGGTGGTTTCTATTTGTTATAGTTTAATTCTCTCAATAGGACTATGGCATTCAGAGAAAAAGAGATTTTCTGAACACCAGCTATGAGGCAGGGTCTCTTGCCAGAAACCTACTAATAAAGAAACCTGACAAGGTCTCTACTCTCTTGTATCAGAAACCAGAAAATAAACAAGGAGACATATATACATGAATAAGACAAGTTTAGATACTGATACGTGCTATAAAAAGAATAAAAAATAGAGATGGGCAAGGGGATGTTTCAGCTGAAGTAGTTAGGCACAGTTAGATGGAGGAGGTGTGCTCTGTGATGGGGGACAAGAATGCTAAGGAGTCAGGCATATATTTCATCTGAGGGAATATCGTGTCAGGCAAAGGGAAAGGCAAATACAAATGCACTGGGGCAGAAATGTGTTTGACATAGCCAGTATAGCCTAATGAATGTGAAAAAAAGTGGTAGGAGATGGGATCAGAGAAGTGAGTAAAGGCTGATCATAATCCAGTAGCTTTGGTGCCATTTACCAGTTACTACATGTCAGCCTCGGTGAAAGCATTTTACATGAGACACCTCATTTAACCCTATTAAGCTAAGTATCATTTTCCCATCATAGGGATCCGAAAACCAGGCTGTACGTCAGAGAAGTTAATCTGGAATTTTTAAGGATGCAGAAATTACCTGCGGCTGGAAATGGAGCGCGGGTTCCACCAAATCTAAGGGGACTTGATCCACCTGAGGCCTGTTCTTGTTAGCAGCAAGAACAATCTTTGAAATGGATGGATTCTCTTCTTGTGCACTATTCCCCTTTGCCTTTTTGTTTCTCCGTGGAGTTTTGGCTGTCTGCAAACAAAGATGCATTTATGCAGTAGGTCTTCATTGATTTCAAGTTAGCTAGTTCCAAATGGCATCTAATTGGAAGGAAAAGCCAATTATTAGCCAGCCAGAAAGTGATTCTTGATAAAAATTATTTTATCAGAAATGAGTGGAAATCAATCTGGCTATGTAATTGTAGACTTTCTCATGCATTTCCTTATCTCTATGCTTACTGACATCATCCTTTCTACAACTGACATTATCTTTCATCTGCATTGGGGAATTAGGCTCTAAAGCGCAACTTTCAGCATGCCATTTCCCCAATCAAAACCCTTCAAAGACTCCTCATGGCCTACCAATACTTTCTCTAAGTCCACTGTCAGAGTTTTTCTTCCAGTTATTACCCTCATCCCTGCAAAGCAAACAATATGCTCAACTCTTTGGATTTGCACATTCAGCTACTACTCCTGCTGTTCTTTCCACTGGGCATGCTTCCCCTGGCACCTCTTACATGGTGTATTTCAAATACC